AGCCCCCAGGATCTGACCCAGCAGCCCTTTAACAAGACCCATAGGGGCTCTCCTCACTCCCCTGTGAGTGTGAGGCCTTTCTGTGACATTAGAAGATGCAATCTTCCCACTGGCTAAATGGAGCTGTATGTCCCTCTCTCCTCTTTCCTGCCTACCTCACTGCCACTCATTCCCACCATCCCCATCAGTTCCACCTATATTTTCCAGTCTAGGCTCAAGAAAATATGGAGGTGTGGCCCTACTCGAGGATTCCAGCCTTGCCCGGAAGGTGAAAACAGGGCTTCTTCTCCCAAAACTGCCATTTCCTCAGAAATTGTGAACTCTACTGAAAAAAAAAAAAAAAAAAAAGGCAGCCTCGTCAGAATGAGAGAGATTTATGAGATTGGCGCCTGCGGAGGTTCTCCCCCTCCTTCCCCTGGAGCCATCAATATTCCCTGGGCTGTGCCCTGGAACAACCAGAGCTGAACTCCGCGTTCTGGAGGCGGCGCGCCTGTCACTGCTCTAGCTTTTCCCAGACTCCCTCCCCCTCTTCCCTCCCTGCCTGCTCCGCCCAGGCCCCTTCCCTCCTAGTTGTTGTTTACAAGGAGCTACCCCTCTCTGTAAATTAAGCCCTCCGCAGCCTCCCACTCGTGGAGGCCATGTGTTGAGCCCCATGAGCCGACTTGTGGCATTTATTAGCGCAAGAGGAAAAATGCTTGCCTCATCAGAGAGAGCAGCTGGAGACAGAGCGCTTTTCAAAGGCACGTAACTGACCTCTAGCTCAGCTGCTGGATGCCTGGGTATTGCAGACTCAGAGGATTCTCATATTCTCTGTGTGTGTGTCTCGCTCTCTTTCTCAACTCTCCCTCCCGTCCTCCCTCCCTCCAGCCTCCACCCACTCTTTTCAGTTGAGTCCTGACCTTGCACGGCCTGAATCCCCCCATCCATCTCCCTACATTGTGTCTCTCTGGTGAACTCATGCTGGGAGATTAATTGCTGCTATCACCCCTAATCCATCACACTTCCCAAAGATTGTTTTGACATCTAGTTAATTTTTGGCTGATGATTTATCAAATTCTTATTACCGTGCTCTGAAGGGGCTCATTTATTGTGTTGATTCATGGTAATGATAAAGGGGAAGCATTTTGAATTTTAACTACATTTCCCTCATGCTTCTTCTACCCAGTGTAGTAAAAAGGAAAAAAAAAAAAAGAAAGAAAGAAAGAAAGAAAGAAAGAAAAAGAAAAAAGAAAGAAAAGAAGCGGGGAGGGGAAGGAGACTGTAGCCAGGAAATTTTTAAACAATTCAAAATGCGAATGAGAAGGGAGAGGGGAA